ATAATAATGATTAGATACCAGATAAGTTTTTAACAACGAAATTACTTATACTTAGCTTTTTTATATAGTTTATTTCTTTCGACTAACAAACCTAATTTAGTATGAACCAAGGACCGATCGATCTACTGGCAATCGTGAACGATTTACAAATTAGTAATTTAAAAATAGCAATGATAGCGAACCGTTTTTTATAATGAATAGATAAGCCATGAACTAATCTAGATACTCCCATATAAGTCATAGATATCCTCGATTTCAGTTATGGAAGTGTTCTCACTAGTTGACTTGGGTGTGGGAGCTCGAGTTTCTGGTTCAGGCTCTGGATCTGAGTCAAGGTCAGAATCAGAAGTATCACCCTCAGCATAATACTTTCCAGAATCAAAACGGTCTATCTTATGTCTCATTGCAATTCTGCTGAGGAATTCAAGATGTTGCGAAGTTGGATTTTGACCACCATGAACTCTAGAAGCATGTTTACCTCTGATTTTTCTTAATCTTTTGGCTGTAATATCATATGGTTTTAAAAATTTACTAAATACTCCTGTACTGCGTTTTCCATTAATACTATAGACAGGATTGCGTAACTTTCCAGTTGCTATTGCATCTTGGATCCAGGTAAGCAATTCTTTTGCACGTTCTGGATTCTTTTCCATGGATAGAAATTGCCGAGGTTCGGGATTATTTTTTGCTTCTCCTTTATTTTTAATATACCCGGTACAATACCAAGAATAACCAGGCTTGAACCATTTAGAAGGATTCGATTCATCAGGTTCATAATGGATAATATGAAGAGTAGCAATTTCGGCAGGTCTCATGCTCAACATCATAATTACATCTGCAAGATCTTGCATAGTAGGAATTTTAGTAGTATTGATATTTTGAATTCTTCTAAGTCCTTCCTCTAAGGAAAAGTGTTTGGAAGTTTTAGGTGGATTGGGTAATCGCTGTTTGAGTTGCCTCTTTTGAATTTTGTTAGAAGCTCGAGTAACTTCTGGCAATTTAGCATATGTATCAATTCGCTCGGAATCAACTCCAGCTTCTGCTAACTCTCTACGAAATTGCGAAACACGAGAACTAGCCGCCACAATCTCCTTATCAGTATGATTTTTTGTCTCAGCTAAGTCTAAAACATGTAAGTAAATATCCCACACATCTCCAGTTTTTGCACAATATCGAGCTCTTTCCTTGATAGTAAGCTTTTTCCCCCTTTTGTCTGGTACAAGAGCTTCTATTTGATTTCCTTTGAATAGGCGCCGACAGAGTGCCTCTTTCATATCTTTACAAGCCTTCCAATCTGGAAGCATATCACCAAGCTCATTAGCATGGGCACATAATTGAAATAGATCAGATTCAGTAGATAAGTTATATTTTTTCAGGATTTGATCCAAAATAGAGGTAAAACTATTAGTTTTGGGCTTTCGGGTTTTTTGGGCAGTTGCTATAATAGGTATGTAAATAATCTATATCGATAAGTAGAATGTGATTATACATTAACCTACTTATTTTTTTCAATTCGAAATTAATTACGCTTTTTCCTCCTATACCCAAAAAAAAGAGGTTATGTATACCTATAGGGTTACCGGATGTTGAGCTATATGATTATACTTCGTGCATAGAATCAGGGAAGTCAGATATATAATTCTTAAACCTGGTAATTTGTGCACATAATTCATTCTGCTTTTTTCTGTCATAATTCTCTTTACTTTTATATTTTCCCACATGTTTATTGCATGCATTATATTTAGACCTATTTAGCTCACCACAATCTCTACAAGGAGTAGGTATTGGAGAATTACGATGAATATAACATCTTTCTGATTTACTACGTCGACCACAGATTTCTCCAGTTCTATGAATATATGAGCAATGGTATAATATCATCGTGATTATATATAATAATTACTTCAATCAAATATATAATTTTTTTGGCATCCAGCTAAAATTTCTGGAATAATTAATTTTATTTTAAAGATTTATCTACCAATTAATATAGTTTCAATAACATATACTTT